GTATGGGGGTCAGTAAGCAAAGTTGGCAGGTTTGTAATTCAGATTGACATCGACAGTATGGGTTCAGCTCCTCCACTGGCTGAGGTTACCATGAAGGACTTTCCTCAACCTTTCTCCTTGCTTGAGACATGGTGACCCTCAGGTTAAGCCACTACTAGTCACATCTCTCTAATCAGAGAGCAGCCCTATAGCCTTGTAAGACTATAGCAACTTTCCCTTTTACTTCTGCAGTAACTGCCAAAGTAAGGAAATCCTGTCAGCTGCCAGTCTGCCAGCTCTGAAGCTGCACTGAGACTAGGGGTAGATGTATGGGGTCAGAGTCTGCCATCTGGTCGGAGCAGCTTGAGTAAATACCTTCCCCACTGTTCTTAACAAGGAGGTGTGTCAGGCATTGTTAAAGTTAAACATACAACTTAGGAGCAGACATAATCCATTTGGCCCTTCAAGCCCGCCCGGCCATTTGATAAGACCTCGGCTGATATGTTTGTGTTCTGAATTCCACAATCTCACCAAAACCTGATAACTTTTGATTCCCTTGCCTAACAAGAGTCAATCTACCTGTGCCTTAAAAATATTTAATGACCCTGCCTGCATGCACTTTTGTGGCAGAGTTCCAAAGTCAAATCTCTCTCTAGAGAAAATGTTTTCCCCTCATCTCAACTTTAAAGGACTACTCCCAATATCAAAACAGTGTCTCTTAATTCTGAACTCACTCCTTATCCACCTTGTCAAGACCATTCAGGATCTTATACACCTCAATTAAATCACATCTCAATCTTCTAAACTCTAGTGGAAACAAGCCCAGTCTATCCAAAATTTGCTCATTGTCAATGTCATAAAATTCCTCTGAACCACAGAATCCCTACAGTGCAGACAGAGGACATATGGTCCATTGAGTCCACACCAACCCTCCAAACAGCATCCCACCCAGACCCACACCCATCCCAACCTATCCCCATAACCCCACATTTCCCATGGCTAATCCACCTAACCTGCACAACCCTGGACACTATGGACAATTTAGCATGGCCAATCCACCTAACCTGCACATCTTTGGACTGTGGGAAGAAACCAGTGCACCTGGCAGAAGCCCATGCAGACACTGGAAGAACATGAAACGCCACACAGACAGTCATCCAAGGATGGAATCAAACTTAGTCCCTAGTGCTGTGAGGCAGCAGTGCTAACCACTGTGCCACCATGCCACCCATCTCCAATCTCCAATGTATTTACATCCTTCCTTAAATGAAGAGACCAACAGGATATACAGTATTTAAGATATGGTATCACCAATGCTCTGAATAACTGCAGCATAACATGCTTCCTGTTGCATTAACTTCTTTTATCAATGATAACATTCCATTAGCCTTCTTAATTAGTTGCTGTAGTTGCAAACATGCTCAGGAGCACGTTACAGAATTTTAACCAGTATTGGTTGGCACAGTACCAAGTGGTCTACAGAATCTTCTTTCTAGGAGCTCTGAGAACACCTATGTTTTGTTCACTAAAACCTTATTTAAAGTTCATGAGGGCTGTCCTCTTAGTTTCAATAGCTACCTCAAATCAGCCAATATTCCTCAGATTTATTTTCGCATACTTAGTGAGTTCAGAGTTCCAGATGTTGATGTTCAGATGCTCCCACTTTGACTCCTGACTCTGGATTCATGCTTTGTTGTTTGAAAGAACCTGATCAAAGATAATGAGGAACTCGTGGCCCCTTTCTGGGTCAGTGAACAGCGAGTGTTGATTCAAGGACAATCCTTTTTGGAATGCTACTGTTTTCTTGGCTGAAGCCTGACATTGCTAACACTAGTGATTGATCAGTGTCCCAGTCAGTGCTATGTTAGCTAAGAGTGATGAGAACATCTTTGAGGGTAATACATTTGCTGATGATGAAAGCTAGCTGGTACCAATGGCATGAACTTGGATGTCTCCAGAACTCCAAGCAACGAAGTTCGATTTGGAAGTAGCTATCAGTCACACAAAGTCTATGATGACAACATAGCTCCAGCAACCTTGGTTCAATTTCATTCATCTTGTTGATTCCCTGGTGTGTAGTCAGCACCTACCCTTACACTGAAGGTACAAACCCTTGGTGCTGGGAATTCTGCTGATGACAGCATCAAGTGCCTTACAGAATTAGAGTCATAGAGATGTATAGCACAGAAATAGAGCTTTCAATACAACTCATCCATGCTGACCAGATATCCTAAATTAATCTAGTCCCATTTGTCAGCATTTGGGCCATATCCTTCTAAACCATTCCAATTCATATACACGTCCAGATGCCTTTTAAATGTTGTAATTGTACCAGTCTCCACCACCTCCTCTGACAGTTCATTCTATATATGCACCACTCTTTGCATGAAAATGTTGCCCCTGAGATCCCTTTTAAATCTTTCCCCTCTCACCTTAAACCTATGCTCTCTAATTTTGGTCTCCTCTACTGTGGTGAAATGACCTTATCTATTTACCCTATCCATGCCCCTCATGATTTTATAAACCTCTATAAGGTCACCCCTCAGCCTCTAAAAGTCCAGGGAAAATAGCCCCAGCCTGTTCAGCCTCTCCCCATAGCTCAAGCCCTCCAACCTGGCAACATCCTTGTAAATCTTTTCTGAACCCTCTCAAGTTTCACAACATCTTTCCTATAGCACGGAGACCAGAATTGAATGTAGTATTCCAAATGAGGCCCGATTAATGTCCTGTACAGCCGCAACATGATCTCTCAACTCCTATACTCAATGCGCTGACTAATAAAGGCAAGTGTACCAAACGCCTTCTTCACTACCCTTTCTACCTGCGACTCCACTTTCAAGGAACAATGAACCTGCACCCCAATGTTTCTTTGTTAAGCAACACTCCCCAGGACCTTACCATTAAGTGCATAAGTCCTGCCCTGATTTGTCTTACCAAAATGCACATTTATCTAAATTGAATTCCATCTGTCAATTGATCCTTGATATCTGGGGTGAAGGCAAATGTTGAGATATAGATGCTCATGAGGGTAACTGGACCCATACTTGTAGATAAGTGAAGACTGATACCTGGAACAAGCAGATCATGTTATGAGGAAAGGCTATATAGAGTAGGGCCGTATCCTCTGTAATCCTTTGGAAGAATCAGAGGCAACTAAATCGAAACATATAAGATTCAGAAGGGACTTGACGGGGTCGATGTTGAGAGGATGTTTCCTCTTGTGGGAGAATCTGGAATTAGGGATCACCGTTTAAAAATAAGGGGGCGTCTACTTAAAACAGAGACAAAACATTTTTTCTCTCGGGGGTTATAAATCTTTGAAATTTCCTTCCTCAAAAGGCAGTGGATGCAGAATCTTTAAAAGTTTTTTGGGAAAAGATAATTGGAATCTTGAGGAATAAAAATTCTCGGGAGTATGAAGGAATATAGAGTTGAGGTTAAGATCAGATCAGCTATGATTTTCTTGAATGGGGAACAGAATTGAAGGGCCGAATGTTCATATGTTTGTATGAATAGAAGTCTCTTTGAGCTTTCTGAAGGGTTCAGTATCATAGGTTGTGTGGTTTTCCTGTGAAAACAGCTCAAAGACTGTGTAACATTTCACTTTTGAGCTGGCCCAGGTTCTTGCGGCCTACACGTCCATTTCTAACTTTGTAAGTTCTTTATCGATCTCAATTATTTTGCTGGCATCATTAATCTGCTCATGGTCTTTGCTAAGGGCAGGAAGCATGGTTCTACAGTCCATCTGTGGGGTTCTTAGGGTGGGCTTTGAACCCACAACATTCTGACTCAGAGTACTGAACTATGCTGACACAATGTTCAGAACTTTTAATTAGCTCAATTCAATTCTGTGAAATAATAGCATATCTTGCATATTCCATTGCACTAATTCAATAATGGGAATAAAGAGTGTTCTGAAACACCTCTTAATGTTGACTTGATTTAAATGACAGTGTTCACTTTTTTCTCTTTTTGGCAGAATGGCTATATAGATGGGCAACCTCACAGAAAAGGTCTTTTCCCAGCATCTTTTATCCAGTTACAAACAAGCTAACAGATCTTATCCTTCAGTCTGGGCAATTAAAGAGAGGGAAGACCAATCTCATTCGCTTCATCTGTATCATTTACTTCTTGGAGTTTGAAGCGTCTATCAATTTTACTGAAAGGTAGTCGTCATTTGAAACTTGTTTCTAATGACCATGAACAGTGAACCAGTTCTTCTAATGCAGTGGCTCTTCCGAGGGGGAAAGTTACACTGGTGCATTAGGCAGTTCCATAAAACCTGAATACATGGTTTACCTTCAGGAAAGATCCAGATTGCTGTTTTAAAGCAGGTGGCTGTTTAATTAATGTTGCCCTGAGTGTATGCCTTACTGTATAATGCTAATGTATGTTGGTATTTTAAAAAAAAAGTTTCCAAGTAGTGATATTATTCAGTTATAAATGTTTAAAAATTTTAAATGGTCATCAAAAACCACTCTCGTGAATTAGCCAAATATATATATATATATATATATATATATTTTATATATGAAAAGTCCTATTGTTAGAAATAGTTGTGCGTGGAGAGGTGAACACATGACCACACTGTCCGGTGGCAATCATTTAAAGAGGATAAGGGAGCATCTCTCATACCAGTTTCTGCTTTCTTTATTGCCACTTCAGAATTTTTTTTGAGCAACCAGCAATTATGACAATCCATGATGGGAAACAGCCTCCAGTAGATGGGGGAAGGAAGCATGTGACAAGCTGATGGAAGAGTCTATGTGTTTTATCTTTAAAGATGGCATGTAATAATTTAAAAATGCTAACTGTTCATGATAAAACATTTTAATAAAAAAATTAATTCCTTTAGTTTATTTAAAATATGATAGTCTCTAGACTATCAAACCCAGTTCAGATTTGTGTTTACCATGTAGTAAATGTGCTTATGTGTAAGGACTGAAATTCAGAGTATCTAAATCATGATCAAAATTAGAAACATTTCTCCTACTCCATTCCTACTCCTTCTAAATATATGCCAGGAAGGAAGGGATAGATTGTGTTGATTGATCTTAGCTTATAATTGTGAATGCCTGCATAGATGTTTAATGAATGAATTTATACAAGTGAACTACCTCTTTGGAGTGTGAAATAAAACAGAAAATGCTGGAATTACTCAGTGGGTCTGGCAGCATCTGTGGAGAGCAAAACAGTTAATGATTCAAACCAAATATGATATTTCTGTTCTCAAGAAGAGTATTCAACTCAAAACGTTGACTCCGTTTCTGTCTTTACAGATGATGTCAGATTTCAGGCACCTTTTTTTCCTTCAGATTTCCAGCAGCCGCAGTATTTTGTTTTCATTTTTGGAGAGTGAATTGCTTTTCCTTTTGAAATTGGTACAAATCTCAGCGACAGAATAAGGAGTGCATCAGCACCACCTAGAGTTTGAACAAAGCAGTCATGAAGGTGACTTCTACACATTGCAGACACTTTGCACAAACATCGTCTCCTATCAATTCGACTCAAGCATAAATTGCGACTTGCTATCGCCTTCCTCCTTCCTCCAGGCTTAAAAGATTTTGGCTTCATAAAAAGAGACAAGTTTGTTAGTGGTAAATGTGTTATTAAACAATTAAACCAAACAATCAAATAATCATCATTACTGCCAAGTGAACTGGTAACAGTGTTAGTCACAATGTGAATTTGTTCAGTTTTAGCTCACTGTTAATTTGATCTGAAAAGTAAAAGAAAAATGTTGATCCTGTGTGAAGTGACGATTAGATGACTTATTCTAGATTGGAACTACCTTGGAAAGCATTGATACTTTGAATAGTCTATCCATAAGGCCTCTGCCTACCTTTCCCAACACCACCATGTGAAATGTCTATTGCAATTACTGCAACTGTGTAGATGCTGCAGTGAGATTCACAATCGCTTGCTTTGTTCAAGTAAGGCTGTCAGTGGTTTTGAATAAAAATGGAAAGCAAGCAAAGTTAAGGTCAGTATGACTGGAACAGTGCAATCTGATACGAGAAAAAGTATTATTTTTTGATTTTTAATTATGCTCGATGAAAGAAATCATTCCGGAATTCTGATTCCTATTCTTGGCTACTGTGTGATTATTCTCTTTCGTGTACTTTAAAGGTGTATACCACCTTAATTATCATTGTGAATAAATGGCAAACTCAGTTAATTACTTAATCATTGTGTCTAGTTTTATTATTGGGTCTTCTCATAACTTTTACACTTGCAGAAAGATGCAGTTTTTATTAACAGGGATGTGTCTCTGATCATCAAAAAGGCATTTGTTGTAATGTTTTACCCAAGTTATTACACAGGCACTCCCTACATGTTCAAAATGCTGAACTGCCATATTATCAGGGTTTAACAGAAGTCAAGCGTATTTACAGGTTCATCACAATTTTGACCCTGGGCTGAGTTTCCAATAACATACTGAAATGATAGCTAAGATTGCCTATTTTCAACCCTACATCCCCAGTCAACTTCCCCACTGCCTCAGCTGCACTTGTGAAATCCTCACCATACCTTTGTGACTAGTAAATTTAGAATTAGAATTAGGTTTATTGTCATGTGTGCTCAAGTTACAGAAGAACAAGAGTACAGTGAAAAATGTACAATGTCGCCAACACGGCACCATTAAAGGGACAAAGCACCAAGGTACAAATCTTAGGTACCAAAAATACAGAAAATACATAACAGATATACATTGTATATGTTAGGAAGATAAGAAATACAGCTAAAAAGATAGACGTTACAGTCTTTCTGTAAGGGCTTCCACATGGTCCTTTGCTCCAGGCCCACTGACCGTCCCCACTCCAGTCCAGGCCCACTGACCTCCCCCACTCCGCTTCGGGCCCACTGGCCATCCCCACTCCGCTCCAGGCCCGCTGACTGTCCCCACTCCACTTCAGGCCCAATGGCCGCCCCCACTCCGCTCCGGGCCCACTGACCGTCCCCACTCAGCTCCAGGCCCACTGACCGTCCCCACTCCGCTCCAGGCCCACTGACCGTCCCCATTCTGATCCGGTCCACTGGTCATCATTCCTGCTCTGCTGGCTGCCTCCACTCTGCTCTGAGCGGCTGGCAGAAAGGGGAAAAGAAAACACGAGAGAAAAGAAAAAGAAAAGGAATGGACAGAACAGACGAGTTCCGGTTGGAGCGTCTTACTCCGCCACCATCTTGGATCTAATTTCACTTGACTAAAGCTTTCCATGACTTCACCTCTCCCTATCTCGGTAATCTCGAGCCCTACACTCTCCGGATTTCTGCACTCCTCCAGTTTTGGTCTGTTGAATATGCCTGATTTTAATCCCACCAATCAGTGCTGCTGTGCCTTCAGTTGTCAAGACTCTAAACTCTGGAGTTCCCTTGCTATACTGTTAGAGCAGTTTTCCTCCATATCCCTCTAAGATGCTAATTAAAACACACTTCTTTGACTAAATATTTGAGGATCTACCCTAATATTTCCTTATGTGGATTAATTTGTGATAGCTTTTGGAAGATTTTACAAATTGGGAATAGGCAAATTACAATATCATATGATTACGTTAACCAAAGTTGTGACCAACCTGTAAATACATTTGACTTCTGTTTAGCCCCAATAATATGGCGATATAATATATGACACGACATAAATACAAGTTGTTGCTGACAGCCATCCAGAACAGGCATTGCATCGGCCAAGAGGAGCCCATCACCTGTTTCATGACCCCACTGTTAAAATTCATTGTTCAGTGATCTGAAACGCTGCTGCTATATCTTTCTCCACATTGTGCCATTCACCTATCATTCTTGTCCTTACTGACCTACTGGGGTTGCCAGAATATCACAGTTCCAAATTTAAACCCTTGCATCTACAACTTCCTCCAGCTACATAGCCCCAAACTCTCTGCACCTTTAACTCTGACCTCCTGAACATTATCTCTCTCCTCTTTTTTTCCCTCACCATTGACAGCCCTGCTGTTAGCTACCTAGACTAAGCACTCTGGTATTCCTTAATGAATACAGCCTTGTTGCCTCCCTCAATTATCTTAAGGATGTCATAAACTTCACTCAGCTTTTGATCATGGAAATCAAGAGGGTAGAAAGGCAACATGAGATAGCTTTGGCAGATAAGGTAAAGGACGATCAGACAATCTACAAGTGTATTAAGGGCAAAAGAGTAACTAGGGAGAGAATTAGGCCTCTTAAAGATCAACGAGGTCACCTATGTATGGAGCCACATGAGATTGTTGAAGTCCTAAATGAATATTTCTATTCAGTATTTGCCTTAGAGAAAGACATGGAAGCTAGGGAACTCAGGGAAATAAATAGTGATGTTTTGAAAAGAGCCCACATTGCAGAAGAGGAGGTTCTAAAGGTCATAAAATGCAGAAAGGTAGATAAATTTCTGGGATATGATCATGTATATCCCAGGAAATTGTAGGCAACTAGGGAAAACATTGTGGGGCCCCTAGCTGAGATATTTGTATCGTCACCAGCCATGGGTGAGGTGCTGGAAGACTGGAGGGTGGCTATGGTTGTGCCATTATTTAAGAATGGCTGCAAGGACAAGCCAGGATCTACAGACCAGTGAGCCTAACGTGAGTGGTGGGTAATTTGTTGGAGGGACTTCTGAGAGACAGGATCTACATGCATCTACAAAGGCAAGGACTGATTAGGGATAGTCAGTGTGGCTTTGTGCGTGGGAAATCATGTCTCACAAATTTGATTGAGTTTTTTGAAGTGATAACCAAGAACATAGATGAAGGTAGAGAGGTAGATATTGCCTACATGGACTTTAGCAAGGCCTTTGACAAGGTTCCACTTGGTAGACTGGTTAGTAAGGTTAGATCACACGGGATCCAGGCAGAGCTAGCCAGTTGGATACAAAATTGTCTTGATGGTAGGAGACAGAGGGTGGTGGTAGATCGTTATTTCTCGTCCTGGAGGCCAGTGACCAGCAGTGTTCCACAGGGACTGGTGCTGGATCCACTGTTGTTTGTCATTTGTATAAGCAATTTACCTGGGAATATAGGAAGCATGGTTAGTCAGTGTGTGGATGGCATCAAAATTGGTGGTCTAGCAGACGGTGAAGAACATTATCTAAGGTTACAAAGGGATCTTGATCAATTGGACTGCTGGGCCAAGGAGTGCCAACTGAAGTTCAATTTAGATAAATGCATTTTGGTAAGATGAACAACGGCGGGACTTACACAGTTAATGGTAGGGGCCTGGAGAATATTGTTGGACAGAGAGACCTAGTAGTTCAGGTGCACAGTTCCTTCAAAGTGCTGTCACAGGTAGACAGGGAGGTTAAAAAGGCTTTTGGCACACTTGCCATCATTTGCTTAGATCACTGAGTATCGGAGTTTCAACATCATGTTGCAGTTGTACAGGACATTAGTGAGGCCACTTTTGGAGTACCATGTACAGAACTGGTCACCCTGCTATAGGAAGGATATTACTAAATTGGAGAGGGTCCAAAAAAGATTTACCAGGATGTTACTGGAACTAGAGGGTTTGGATAGGCTGGGACATTTTTCATTGGAGTATAGGAAGTTGAGGAGTGACCTTGTCAAGGTTTATAAATCATGAGGGTTAGAGTTAGAATTGATATGGTGAATAGCAAAGGTTTTTCCCTGAGGTAGTGAAGTTCAAAATTAAAGGGCATATTTTAAGCTGAGAGGGGAATAATTGAAAAGGGAGGGGCAACTCTTTCAAACGGAGAGGTAGTTCATATGTAGGATGAACTGCCAGAGGAAGTGATGGATGCAGTTACAGTTACAACATTTAAAAGACATTTGGACAGGTACATGAATAGGAAATGTTCAGAGGAATATGGGCCAAATGCAGGCAAATAGGACTACTTCAGTTTAGGAAACCTGGTCAGCATGGATGAATTGGGCTGAAGGGTCTGATTCTGTGCTATATGACTCTGTGACTCTATGATTAACCATAACAGTGTTGGAGAAGGAGCTTGCTTTACCATTCAATTGATCATGACTGATGTATCTCAATGCCATTTTCCAATGCTATCATAGAATTCCTACAGTGTGGAAACAGGCCCTTTGGCCCAACAAGTCCACACCGACTCTCAGAGCATCCCACCCAGACCCATCCACCTATAGGCCACCTAAGCTACACATCCCTGAACACTATGGGCAATTTAGCATGGCCAATCCACCGTAACCTGTACACCTTTGGGCTGTGGGAGGAAACTGGAGCACCCGGAGGAAACCCACGCAGACACGGGGAGAATGTGCAAACTCCACACAGATAGTCACCCAAGGGTGGAATCGAACCTGGGTCCCTGGTGCTGTGAGGCAGCAGTTCTAACCACACAGCTACCGTGCTGCCCCTATATCCCAAATATCTAGAAATCTATTCAATTTTGGGTTATCCGGGTTTGATTCCGCCCTCAGGTGACTGGCTGTACGGAGAGTGCATGTTCTCCCCGTGTCTGTGTGGGTTTCCTCTGGGTGCTCTGGTTTCCTCCCACAGTCCAAAGATGTGCAGGTTTAGTTGGATTAGCCATGGGAAATGCAGGGCTCTAGGGTTGGAGGGGAGGGGTGTAGGGGGGTGGGTCTGAGTGAGATGCTCTTTGGAGGGTCAGTGTTGACTTGATGGGCCGAATGAAGGACTGCCATGTATCCTCAGCCTCTCCTGATAGGCCAGGCCTGCTATCCAGGAATCAGTCTGGGGAACCTCTGCCGCACTCTTTCTATGGCAGATACATCCTCCCTTAAATAAGGGAACCCAAGCTGCACACAATACTCCAGGCGTGGTCTCATTATTATTTTGCTAACCATTCTTTGTTTGCCCTGAGCGTCTCTGTGAAGCACCTTGAGATGTTAGTTCCAATAACTGTAGTATGAGAGTGTAAATTGTTGCTATTAATGTCTTTAGTGCAGACCATCTCTGTGACCCAGCACTGCGGATGAAAAACCAGTATATGAGGCTGTGGTAATCAGCAGGAACTCCTAATTTCTATTCAAAGCAGCTACTGAGAGGACTCCAACCCTCTCTGTGCCTGCTGACCCTATTGGAAAGGAAGCTATTCACCTCTAGAGCATTTGACATCTTTGCTATCTGGCCTAAGTAAGGTGGGTCCATAGCCTAAAATTAAGTTATGCCAACAATGGGCATTCAGTCAGGAAAATTAATTTATGCTGTTGACAGATTCTTAATGGACTCAGCCTCCTTGAACCTGGGTTAGGCAGAGTCATCTGCTTTCACCATGAGCAATGTAGAGGAATTTGAAATGACAAAATGGTTTTGAAATAGATACAAAGCCAAGCCAAGCGACTCGACTGGGAAGTAGAGATAACATTTCAGGTCAGTAATCTTTCTGATAAAAGGTCACAAACCTGAAATATTGGGCGTGATGTCTGTTGTGCACATTATGTTCAGCAGCGGGTGTGGATATGTGTCACTTCCACTCGGGGGGGCTGTGTTGATTTTTCTCATGTCTTAACATCATTCTCAGCCCATTACACAGACACACATGAGGAATGTAGTGACTTGTACGATGGGGGACAGGTAGGAGGTAGACACCCCTGCCATTACATTCCACGGTCGAAGCCCCTGATGCCTGGATAAGATTCCCTCTTTGCAGGAAGCCGCTCAGGGTCTTGGAGTGAATGACAACCACTAAATATTCTGACCCTCCAGCTCTTCCATGGTCACCCTGGAAGCTGCCTTGACCAGCTTATTTGAACACATGACCATTACAATCCATCTTCCTGCCCTCAATCAACCTCTGTGTCCTGTCCAGCTTAGACCATCGCCAACCTGTGTCAAGCACAGCCTGGAAGAGACAGTTGCCCCCGCAAAGAACACAAAGCAACATTTACTTGCTGCCACCTCCAGTCAGCACAGTACCTCACCTGCTTTGCACCTCTTAAAAGCAGTCAGAAATCTGAAGGGGTAGTAATTGTTTGTGATGGCTTGCGCCAAACTTCATTCAGAAGATGAACTTTCTGATGAAGCTGCATGCTAAACAAACACACATGGAAAAGCCATCGGGAAGCTTGAGCCATTTAAATTTCTGTCAAAGTCCTGCAAGCAGAATATAGGGAGCTAAGAAGTGAATTAACAGGCAGGAGCTCAGCGTTATTAATCACAGGATTACTCCCAAGTGCCATATGCTAGCACAATCAGGAATAAGAGAAAGGACAGGTTGATTGTATGGCTGGAGGCATGGTGTAGAAGGAAGGGGTTTGGATTCTTGAGGCATTGGGACCAACTCTGA